GGTTTTATAACTGTCCTATGGGGCCTTAATTATCAAAGTAAATGAGAGGGAATATCTTTCTGAGATAAAATTTACTGCACCATGGCAACCAAGCAGAGCCACAGCTAAATTTTCCAATGTCATGCATTGTTAAGTATTGCTTTTAGATAATTTTTGCTGTAAAATTGTATAAAGACATTAAAGTTCATATAAAATTCAAATCACTTCACATCTATAGATGCCTAATGATCAAAAAATGTAGACTGCTTGACAGTTACTCAGTATATAAGCCAGAACAAGCCTTCAAATAGAGCCTTACCAGTCATGTCCAGTTAACAGACCCCACAGGGTGTTCTAAGAGCAATATAAAAAATATAACACCAACTCTAAAAACCTACAGTGCTTTCAGACCTACAAATGTTAAAAATGAATACGTCCTCTGATTTATTGTATACAAAAAGAAACAGAATTGCTTTAAATTAAATATATGGGAATAGAAAGGAAGCAAATCATTTAGTTAGTTTTGTTTTGCCAAAACCATAGTCATCATATTCATAGATGGGGCATCTCTTTCTCAGAAAACAATACACAATGAGAGGTCTGCCCTTCTGCCTCAAGATCACTGGCCTGGTAGACTCAGTTGACATTACAATGTTACACATGTACTGTTAAATGTGAACTTACTGAGGATAGACTTTATTACTCTGCTTCAGATAGTTTTCTATCTGCTTCATAACATTTATGCAAAAATAAAGTCACTCTCCACTGAAAAACTCTTGTGCATACCTCCCTCCAGTTCTGATGTATGGAGGCAGGAACGTAGTCAGACAGGCAGAAGTTGGCAATGGGCTCACAACAGAAGCACAAATTCATAAGATGAGATCCTAAACAGAAACCAGGCCGAGTTCAGTATCACAGCAGATGAGCCAAAGGGATAAGCAAGGTGCGGAATCAAGAAGCATGCCAAAGGTCAGGTACCAGAGGGATTAAGATCAGGCATAGTCAGATGAGCAGAAGGGATAAGCAAGGTGTGGAATCAAGAAGCAAGCCAAAGGCGGGGTACCAGAGGGATCAAGATCAGGCATAGACAGAAGGCAAATCCGGGAATAGCACAGGAACAAGCAGGATCTGGTCATGGGTCACAGGAGCTGACAACCTATCTGCAATGATCCTGAGTCTTGCAGTGCTTTAAATAGGCCATTGGGTGCCAAAGTTAATTTAAACATGCATGTGTGCATGCACGTGTAGCTGACCGCATGTGGACCGTTCAGTTTTTCTGACAAGGGGTGAGCTAAGGTTCGGGCCAAACTCAGTTCAGCCGAAACCTGCAGGAAACTGGCACATGAAATCAGGTTATTGTCCCAATCACCCAACCCCACAGCTTCACTTAACAAAGGGGCAAAGATGCTGGAGACATCATTGACTTAACATAGGGGCAATTATGATAATGTCATTGAATTTGGGCTGAACCTTAGCTCATCCTCAGTTGTAAGTATCACAATACAATAGGGAAGGGGGAAGGTATGGCTGAGTTCAACCTTAAGGCTCCATGCTCACTGGGCATTTTAATAACGCTGGTAACGTTAGCTGTGCAAAGTCACATTAAAAATGTGAGTTTTTCAGCTTTTTTAGCCTTTTGCCACTCAAAAAAAGTCCAAAAACGCCGTTTTGCCACATTTTTGAGCGTTAGAGTGTTTTTACAGCTAAGAAACTCCTCTAGCAACCCACTAGTTCTGGGGTTTTGTTCCAGCCAAATAACGCCCTGCCAAAAAACGCTGATTACAGTGTATGTGTGCATGGAGACATAGGATAACATACTGGGGAGTTTATTGACTGTAGAAAAAAAAAGCCAAAAGCCAAAACCAGCAGCTGTAAAAACGTCCAGTGTGCATGAGGACTAAAAGCATTGTGTATACAACTTTAGCTGTCCCTATCTCTAGATTTACTGATTGGTTTTGACTTGCAGGTTTCATTGAAGGTAACCTCTGTTCATGCATTTTTTTCATATGCTTTCTTTGAATTACCAACGTTTATCACAGTTTGCTTAAAAAGTAGAATGTGAGGAGAGATCAATCTTTTTACATGATTTGCACAGCCAAGTGACATGTTAAAGAATAACTTCATTGTCTGTATAAAAATAAAAGTGAGCAGCTCTAAGCCCTGCAGCTGCTGACTTTAAAAAAAAAAAACAATTATTTAACCAGTCCATGAGGTCCAACACTGTCTTTTTAGCAGCCAAAGTCTTCACCACTTGTTATGTTCCTGCACCACCATTTTGGAATACCCAATTCCTGATGATCCACAGCCAGCCCTCTACTGTACACATGTGAAATGGTGGACTGTTGTGTGTGTGATCCTGTACATTTTTGTTTATTAAAAATCATACAAACAACATAATGAAACACATATTTACATATACTGTATACAGTGTTTATATATATATAAATATATATTTAAACAAAAATAGCTTACTTACTATCATTATATTGTATCTCAATTGTATCATACCCGACCTTCACCTAAACACAACCTCAGGCTAAGAAACAATTAAACATTTATCCCATGGATGCAGATTTTTTTCAAAAATCTGATCCTACAAAAAACTAGGGGATGTGAAAGGGCAGAAAGAGAAGCCCCACACCCAGAGACTGACAGACGCAGCTATGGGGACCTGACATTCCTCCACACCTTTGTCCAGGCTCCTGTTCGGCATCCATCCTTCTCAAGAACCCAAATCTTCCCAACCTCACCCAGAATGTTGTGCACCACCACCTCAACAGAAAAGACTTTTTTGCGAATGCAGACCTGACACCGTGCATTCTACATGTAGTAACGGACTACTAAGCTATCTAGAAAAAGTGTCTCAAAATCAAAGTCCTGATGAGTTTAAAAGGCTTCGTAAGACCATTCTGCATAATTCAAGCGGGAAAGGAAAGGGATACCCAGAGCCCCACCCACCCACTTGAAGACTTCTATATTGAAGGGGCACTGAAGCAAGAAATGGTCCATCATCTCCTCCACCCCACCACACTCCACTCTTGGACAACCACAGGGCGATGCTTCAAGTTGCCCTTCACATAGAGTCTGGCATGGAGCGAGAGCCAGGCCACATCCCAAAACTTTAAAGGGATTCTTTCCAGACTCATCAAACACAGACCCTCCCTCATAACAGGGCCTGGGCAATCCCTCAAGGCCAATGGCTCACTAAAGGCAGATTCAACATCTCTCCTCTCTGGGGTCTTCCTAGGAAGGGACTTAATGATGATCCACAGCCGGCCCTCTACTGTACACATGTGAAATGGTGGACTGCTGTGTGTCTGTTCCTGTGCTCCTGTAGCCGCCTGCAATGTGCAACATGATCGCAGGAGGCTGCGGGAAGGGGTGCACCATGCATGATGTCATGCTCATCTAGAAGAAGAATGAGGAATTGGATGAAAGTACCTACTGCAAAAGGTACTTACCCCTTTGCCCAAAGAAAAATATAATTTTCAAATGTATAACAGGAGGGGGGGGGGGGGGGGGGGGGGTTAGAGGGAGGCTATGGTGAAAATGTGAGTGAAGGTCCACTTTAGCATTTGCAATAATCTATTTTGCCAGATTCCTTGCAAAACACCACAGATATTTTATCTAGAGACTAGATTGGATGTTAAATCATACAAGACTGTTTATCTACACGCTGAAAAATAACAAGCTTCCTGCTGGTTTCCTCTTGCCAACGAACACATTTTAGGATCTAGATTTTCTTTTGTTGTTATTTTATATTTTTATAAAGACAAAACATTGCAGCAATTTTGTAGCCTGTTCTAGGTAAACAGAACCTGGCAGCATAAAGCACTCTATTATAGTTGGCATTATGGTACAGACACATTCATATGAAAACTGCTCTTTAATAAAGATTAGATAATAGTTTTGTTTGAAAAGGGAGTTTGTCTGCTCTTGGCCAGAGGCCAGAATGTATTCTCTGCTTTTGTGTCTTTATCTCTCTTTATAAACGAGGTTTAGCTTTAACTTTGCTTTGTGGCAAAATCTGTTACATGTTATGAATAGTATATTATTGAAGCTGCATCATAGTGAAATCTTATTATGTTGCATAGAAATGGTAATCACAATTTATTTTAGAGATAAGAGAACAAATACATTAGGCCAAGACCCTGCCTGAATTGCACTAAATCTATTTTATTTTCATAAAATCATTTAAAAAGTAAAAAAAAGGACAGAAAAACTTTGAAAAACACCACTGGATCTACATTTTTCTAAATGATATTGGTCCTGAATGCCAACTGTATAGGTTGGAATCCCCATATCAAGAGGGATACAAGTGGAACACTCTCTATACCATTGTCAGCCTGTCTTTTAGCACCAGGAATGTGACCACAACAAAACAACAGCAGCCAAATGTTAAAGGACCCTGGTCTTATCTAGACCATATGTTTCAAGAATTGAGGGTGTTAGAAGAGTGGTCCCAAATAAAAACATGAATAGTTATCAGGTAGCTGGCACTTTTTTATTTTTTAAGTGAGAGGTAAACTTAAAGTGTTACTAAACCCACAATAGTAAAATCAGTCTGTATATGCAGTAAAGGCCTGTAATTGTTAGGAATAACTCACTGAAATCTGTCCAAACAAGAGTCTAGTAAACATCCCGGGTATGTTAAAATTTGAAACACGAAATCATAAATTATAATTTAATAAATAATCATAAAAAATAATAACATAATAATAATAAATGTCATTCAATAACATAATCAAACCAAAAACACTGAAATTAGAAATATAGCGCCAAGTTCGCACATCACTGAGCAAAGTCGCAAAATCGTTTTCAGTGTCTGATGACGAATTTCCCCACAAATCATCACTCAATTCTACAAGTAGTTCTAATTTACTATCGCTGATCTCTAGCTGGTCTAAAACCGCTTTTGACCTAAAGGGACGCTTTTTGGATGCCATGGACATTTCTCAGTTTCCAGGTAGAAAGAACAGTAAAAATGCAGGCAGGGCACAGGACAAAGCACTCGGGACAAAATGTATGTGAAATGCTTTGATACAGTAATGTTTTACTATGTGATTTTAGTGAATTTAGTGAATGTCACTTTTTGTCATTTTCAAATTTCATGCTGTTCCGTCCCCATACGTCCCGACGTCGCAGGGGACGGAACCCAGAAGACGGATGACATTACAAGGGACACTGCAGGGGGGAAATCGTGGGAGCGCAGGACAAGGTAAGAGAAGAACAGATCCTGGAGCAGCGCCGCATGGTAAGCCCGAGTGTAGCTCGGGGTTACCGCTTGTGGTACTGAAACTTTACCCTGAGCTACAATCGGGAATACCGCCAGGGAGGCTACAAGGCAAATTTTGATTTGTATAAAAATCAAAGCAATGGCATGACCTAGCTACACCAGCGCTGCACCAATGCTTCTATGGCCAACCCCATCTCACTTATAACTGGGGATGAGAAAATGTAAGAGTTTTAATTTCTCAGAATTTTAGCAAAAATCTGGAGATTTCAGCAAAATATTGCCAGTTGCTGAAGTTGAAATTAATGTAATTTTGGTGATTTTTTATGGTGCATTTGGGCTTTAAATGGCTCCTAAAGGGATATGGAAGCTTATTTCAGCTTCCATGGACTTGCTCTTGTGCTAAAAATGACACACCATTAGACCCATTAATCTATTAGTTTTAAGGGTTTTGTTTTTGTTTTGTTTTTTTTATTTAAGAAATTAAAAATCATCAGTACACAAATAACAATCAAATAAAACACAAAAATCAGAGAACTACAAATAAAAAACAAATAAACAAAATAACCCTAAATACACCCAAAACACTCTAAATAGTAGGAGAAAAAAGAGAAGATCTGTTCCAAACAGATTTTAAATAAATAGCTCATAGCTCATAGAAGAACTAAATAAGCAAAATTTTTCAGCTCTACTGAAATTTGCAGCAACATCAACTTACTGCTCATGCTCATAACTATTAAGAAGAACAAGTGACTAGAGGGTCAATTAACTAAAACATAACAAATGCAGTATTTTATTACCATGCATAGCTGCTAATTTTCAGGATCAGTTGCATTTAGTGCATATTCTTTACATTATTGCCTTTTTACGGTGTTTTGTATGAAAAGGCGAATTCTCCTAAATTTTCAAAATGTAGCTAACGTCTAAATGGCAACAAAGTAGAGGTCATGTAGGGTAAAAATTAAGTAGAATAAGTTGAGTGTCCTAAGAAAACTGCTGTTGTGGTTATTTTTCTTTTATTTCTTGTTCTTTAACTGACCACTTTACAATGAATTTACAAAAATGGCTATTTTATTACCCTTTTCTTAAAATAGAGTTGCACTGCAGCAAACAAAATACAGACACTCTCATTCCCAATTATTACACTGGTAGTTGGTAACACCATTATAGTTAAGTGCAAAGATTTATTTATTTCCATTTTTTAAAGATATTTATATAGCACCTTCAGTTTACACAGCTCTTGACAACATAATCCCTAGAGATTTAACAGTTTTAAACAGCTCAGTAGAGATGCTGCTTTACGAATGACGCTGGCTTTTAAAATGTATAGAAAAGATGACCTCAAATAACTTAATTATTGCAACAAAAATGACATAACAGTAAATATTCAAGATATTTTTTTTCAATATAGGAATATTTAACCCGTAAATCTGATGTCATAACACTATAATAATAATTATCGTGAAAGTGCATAGACATAAGATAAAGTGAAATATGACATGACTATTGTTATATACTTTCATAGTGAAATTAAGATTTTAGACTAGTGAAAGTCTTATAAACATAAAAAAGTGAAGACAGAAAAAAGATCAATCAGTATACACAGTATCTATGTTAGTCCCGAGCATGTTTGAATCCAGTTACTGTTGACTCAATACCTCTGCTGGAAGTCTATTCCAAGCAGCTACTACCATTTCAGTAAAATAATACTTTCTACGAGTAGTTTTGAACTTTCCTTGTGCTAGTTTAAGGTCATGTCCCTGTGTTCTTAATCTTGGCTTCATATTTAAATACTGCCCTCCTGAATCTTATTCACCCCCTTGATGTATACCTATCTCATCCTTCCCTCCTTCAAGTATAGTTCTTTGGCTGGACCCAATACTAGTCATGTTGGTGCACTCACTGGCCTGATCTGCTCTTGTTACTGTCACGATCGCGGCGTCAGACCCCAGACCCTCTCACCAAACTCGTGACCGAAGGGCTAACCGATCTACAACCGCGATGTGACGTGCGTAGCCATGCCACACCCAGCTGCACCCTGCACAACGATTTTTCAGCTAATGGATACCGATCGATGTGCCAGCAGCCTGAATCGATTGTTACTGGGTCAGGTTAATTACGCAATTAACCCCTTCACACTGCCACCACCTCCTTTTTTATCAGAGAAAGAGGAAACTCGGTGTTCAGCTATAACACTATAATGGTTGATATAATCGACTGCATAACCTGGTCATAATACAGGCCTGTTATACAGAGGGTTAAAACAAACAGTAGCGTCTCTTTAAAGGCAGGGATTCGTAAATTGAAATTAAGAGCTATAGAAACAGTTCAACACTTTCAGAAAGAGAGATTTATTACTAAAAGGGTCAAACAGGTGCAATAAAAATATTTACAGAGAAGATGTAACTAAGATATATATATATATATATATATATATATATATATATATATAAAAACAGCACAGCAAAGAGATGACAGGGAGAAGTTAAAGGGTTAAGTTACTTGCCATTAAGCCTTGGATGTAAGCAGATCACGTTTCCGAGCGAAAGGCACAGGTCTCCCCAAGTGGTATATTGATGTTAAAAAATGGGAGATGTCTTCAAACTAAAGCAGGCTGTCGAGCCTAAGAAAGTTAAAGTTTCCCGGCAGGGGGTGGTTCTGAAGTAAAAGACCAATCCCCTGTTTAGGGAGGGATCGTCAGGCGGAACCCTAAACTGTAACCCACATCTTTCATAATTCATATTCTGGTCCATAACTTTCCATCTGCACAAGCGACAGTCCACCCGCGGGTATATTATTATGCAGACAAGTCTGAGGATTATTTAGATATGAATTATGAAATGATATATTGCACGGTTGAGTTAGGTTTATTAGCTCAGAGTCCCTTTCAACTCCTGGGAAGGCTCTGCTATCCCTTCACGAGGCGTGAAATTACACAGGTACTTTGGCCAGTGGGGCTCCAGCTCTCTTGGGAAAGCTGGTCCTATCTCTTCCTAGGTGAGAAAGGATACAGCTTTCACAGACAGCTCGGCACCTAGCTAGAGATGCCTTGGCCAGCCAGTGACCCATAAACAGTACACACACACACACACTGGCCAGATGTCTCCTCTCAGTGAGAGGGAGGGGTGGGGGAAGGATAAGGGAGAAATGTGTATGTGTCAGGACAGTTAACCCCTTTGCCAAGATGGAGGTTGAAACCAAAATGGTTGAACCACGTCTATCTCTGGGTATATGCTGTTACAGTTACCTACTCCTTATCCTGCTTTGTAAGCTTGTACTCTGTCTCCTTGTGCACCTAATATTCCACACACAGATATGTTTTCATACAACGGTTAACCCTCTTTACCTTATATTAGAAATTAGGGATGCACCGATGTCCTCTTTTTATCAGCAAGTGTGAGTACCAATACTCTCTGACAAGTGCTCAACGATAACAAGTACTTATACTTTGCGGTGGAATTTGCGTCCATACAAAATAAATGGGTGCAAATCACACTGCGAAGAATGGCATGCAATTTGAATAGAAATGTGGTGCTATTCCTGTCCGAATTGCAAGCGGTTTCTGCACTGCTCCTGTGTGAACCTAGGCTTATCATAGCCTGAGTTAAGATAGGAGCTGTCATACACAGTGACCAATCAGAATCTGTCTAGCCCATACTGTCATCCTTGCAAGAAGAGGAGGAGAAAAAGCCATGGGGATTTCAAATCCTCAGACCTGTGAAGCGGCTTTTACTTGTGTGATAGCATGGGATTGGTGCAGGGAGGTTTCCCACACTGCTCCTCTGTGAACTCGGGCTATGACACGCCTAGGTTCACACAGGAGCAGTGTAGAAACTGCATGGAATTCGGACAGGAATGGCACTGCATTCCTGCTCAAATCGCATGGCATTCTTTGTAGTGCGATTTGCACCCATTAATTTTGTGTGTACACAAATCACACACCACAAAGTATCGGTTTTGGGTATCGGAAGCATTTTCATGGGTACGAGTGACTGGTGCTTCTGCCATGTCTGGGCATTTCCTGTTAAAGGGCAGCAACTGATACCAAACTATGTTCCAATGTTGTCACCATGTGTTAACCTCCTTGGCGGTATTCCTGAGTGTAGCTCGGGGTAACATTTCAGTACCACAAACGGTAACCCCGAGCTACACTCGGGAATACCATGCGGCGCTGCTCCGGTATGTGTTCTTCACTTACCTTACCCTGCGCTCCCACGATGTGTCCCCTTCAGCGTCCCCGGCCATCTCCTCCGGCCGATGCCGGCATCCGGCTTCTGTGTCCTGTCCCTGTGACGTCGGGACGTACGGGCGCCGCCGGTGGCGGGAAATTTAAAAATTTTAAAAAATGTCATTTTTTTTTTTTACATTTTACATAGTAAAACATTGCTGTCTCAACCAATTTCACATACATTTTGTCCCTAGTCATACATTTAGTCCAAAAAGTGTCCCTTTAGGTCAAAAGCGGTTTAGATCAGCTAGAGACCAGCGATAGTAAATCAGAACCACTTGCAGAATTGAGTGATAATGATTTGCGGGGAAATTCATCATCAGACACTGAAAACGATTTTGCGACTTTGCTCAGCAATGTGCAAACTTATTGTGGCGCTATATTTCAAATTTCAGTGTTTTTGGTTTGATTATATTATTGAATTAAATGTATTATTATTATATATTATTATTTTTTTGTGATTATTTATTAAATTATAATTTATGATTTCGTGTTTCAAATTTTATCCTACCCGGGATGTTTACTAGACTTTTGTTCAGACAGATTTCAGTGAGTTATTCCTAAAAATTACAGCCTACAATAAAAAAACGACATATTTCCATGCAAAAAAATGGTACCGCTTTCAGCACCAAAAATCGGAAAGAATCATACCGCCAGGGAGGTTAAAGGTGATAGAGATTACAAGCAGCTTTGTTGACACACAGGCAGGCATGGCCCACCATTGTCACTGTCAGCAAGCCAGTCCAGAGCAATGATGTGAAGCCCACAATGTAGCGAATGCATGTAGCCAGGAAGTGGATGAAAGAGACGGGAGGAAATCAGCAACAAAAGATGTGAAATCAGTATGAAGGAAAAAAATGGCAATTGCTTTTTATAAAC